CATGCATTACAGAAAAAGCAGATCTATATTGGTTTTGCACACATTTTAGTTCTCAGCATGTACCATTAAACTTTATGTCATTTATCAAACTGCCTTCTGCAGCTCCAAGAACAGTTAAATAGCATTTACATCATTCTGTGCTAACAGGCATGCATTACCAACTTCCAAAATGTGAAACAATGACTAACCCTAAACTACTAAAATGCTTCAAATTATATTTAAAATAAAAAGTGACTACTGCCATAACATTCTCAATGACTACCCTAAAGCAGCCATTATTTCTGTTTTGCTATGTAGGGAATATTGAAATGAAAGAATCTATCTGAAAATTCATTCAGAATTAAGTCTTTTCTACACACTGAAATCTAATTCACAAAAAAATTAGAAGATTCAATAGTTTATAATCCATTTTCTTAATACATGATACTACAAAACAAAATATCCAATTACTTTGTAGATAACAGGCCAGAACATTTATCATTAAGTAAAACCAAATCAGAGATCATTATCTTATTTGAGAATTTAATGCAAATTGAATTTCAGAGCTTCAGAAACTAGTGCAAATCCGAGGCAGTAAAAAGTTGAACACCATGTGGATTTTCAGACTCCAATATTCCTTTTAGTCAGAAGCTGGTCCCCTAGTGCAAAATGTAACTGAGTAGAAGAAAACATACAGTTTGCTAGAACTTTTTAAAATCCTGAACTTCAGTTTAAAGACGGAGAGTGTTTTCCATTCAAGACTTTTTGTTATTTGTTTTATGGGGGAAAAAGCAAAATGAAAAATTTCTCATATACATCTGGTCTACTGTGCAGGATTCCTACTTGATAAGTAAATTTTCTTCAGAATGAGCTCTGGTAATACAAAATAAAAACATGCTCAGATTTCAACTCCATTCTTGTAAGCCAAGAGTCTATCCCAACAGTATAGTTCAGCAATTCTATAATGGCTATACTTCTGTGATATTTACATATGCCTCACTATTCAGGATTAATCTGGTAAACAATGTCACTTCAGAAGTGAAGCAGTAGTAAACATAGGAAGTCATGTTCTAAGAAATACTCTATTGATTAATAATTAATTATAACAGCCTTGTTAACTGTAATTGACTCTTCCTCAGATTCTGTGACATGCATCACAGAACTGCGTATCAATTAAATTAGAATTATAAACATATCCTGAAAGGGGCAGTGTTTCTTGACAGTAATATTTTATGGCAACATAGCTTTATGCATCATTTTATATCCTGGGCATACTGCCAATATTGCATTACCTAAATATCCATTTTATATAGTAACTCTGCATCCTCACAGCAACTTATGAAATCAGTCTAATTGTTTAATTTTAGGTTTCAAATCAACATTCCTTCCAAAGCATTAATCTAGTGGTGAATTTATGCAATTACCAATTTTGTGAAACTTATGTCTGTGTCTGGTAATTGAAACCACTGTTAAGTAAGGGCCCTTTTTTTGGTATGTATTTATGTAAGTGTGCTTAGAAAATAAAGCAATGGCTAAGTGACACTGTGTATCTCAATTTCTCCTTCCCTCATGCCATACCTGGTTGCTTACAAGACGCTATTACCTTCCCTCTACTAAAGATGATTAAGATCCTATTTAACATTATCATCTCTATTTTCCAAAGCATTTATCTGGGTTGAAATTTTGATCTATATCAAAAAGTTGTCTGGGTATGTGTTAAGTGTAGAGGAATTAATGGCAATTTGATTATAACTGTTCTGCAGTTTTGACTTCCATATAAAAACCCCCCAAAAAACTAAACCAGTTTTGTCATCTGACAGTACTGCCTCCAGACAGCTGAGAAAAAACAAAACACAGACTAGAAGAGCAAGGAAAAGAAGCTGACCGCAGACATTTTTTTTTTTCTTTTTTAATCAGAAGTAGTAAAAACTAGTGCAAAAAGTTTTATGGTGATTTGGTTAGGTAAAGTTTAGAAGTATCTTCTGTTGATTAACCTTTGTCTTATTGCAGAATGAATTCTTGATAGAATAAAAGCTGATTATCCAAATAAGTAAATATATTAAAATGTTTATGAAAATCCTGGTAACATCTTTAGATATTAAGGAAATGAGATGATGTACTGAAAACCTAAATTTCTATCTCAGAACACAACTCTGTTATTTTTCTCTTCCTTTTTGATATCAAAATGCCATTAAATGTTCTTTGATATTTAACATTTTCATTCTGGATCACTATCTGTCAGGATAGATACGCCAAACAATTTTTTGCTTCGCTTTTCAGAATTCTTTCAGTATTCAAAGTGGAAAGATGTTGTTAATACAAATGATTCTGTACTGGCAAGGACCCACAAAATCTGTGTCAGCAACTCTTGCATATTTGTCGACTCAGTTCCTCTTGTATATTTATAAGGCAGTTGACTAAGTGCCTGAGATATTCCGATTCCTATGACTATCTCCTGAAGGACTGCAAAGGTCTGTCCCTAACGTTGTTCAAAAAATTTATGGTGATAAGAGAATTTATACCACTCTCAGTCCGTGAATAAACATTTTCCCTGTGTCCTCCTCTATAATTACTGCACATTATAATAGAGTTTATGAAACAGGTACTGCACTGGCTTTTTAGGTAGACAAACCACTACATGTAATGCTATCTCCTCCCGTGGCACCACCTTTTATCCAGTTCCTTGCATTTCCTCCAGTCCCTTTACACTGCATATTATGTCATTAGGGTCTTTTTCCATATTTATTGTGTTATTATACAATATCGTGTTACTAACTTATCATGTCTGTTTCAAATACTTGCATTTCTTTGAATACACAATGAAAGCCACAGAATGAAGAATTGCTCCTAGTCACTGTGACCTACAAACAGAAAACAGTTGACAAAAGTAATCTAAAATTGTGTATTACAATATTGCAGACCTTTAAGGCAAAATAACCTTTCTGTAATGTGCAACTGGATGTTTTTCTGTATAGAGTGATTTGCAAACTGCTCGACAGAACACTACACTCCTATGACTGTATGGAAATGGTGCTATCTTCAGTTCTGAAATCATGGTGAATATGGCACATTAACCTTCAAGAGAAATGCCATTTTTATATTTGAAAGAGTATCCACTTCAGGACTATCAACTTCTGACTACTTTGGTGACATTCATATGTTGCCCAACATCTGCCTCCCTTAAGTTATGACTTTTGTCATTACTAGGCTGGAAGAGCAATGGATCTGATTCAATTTAGTGATTTCTTAACAAACTCCAAACGTTAAATTCTGGTTTAACTGAATTAAATGGTAACTTTTATGTTAACTTTGCCAGGAAATTTATTTTGCCTCGGAACTTTAAAAAGAGGTTGCATTGATGATGAAAAATAAATCGTGTGACAACAGGCCTAACTCTGGGAACTTAACCAACACCTGCTATTATGTAAAGGGTGAAACTCGCATCTTATCCCATGACTCATTTCCCTTTCTTCAGAAGTCAGGTGAGTTAACAGACAATCATCGCTCTTCCAAAAATTAACTAAAATCAGTTGATTCATCTACTAAGTTGATTCATCTACCAAGTAATGAAATTTTGTTTGGTTTTTTTTCAGATTTCTATGATTATTTTCTCATTCATCCTAGTAAACTAGCTACTGCTTTTCTCTCAGGATTTGAAATCCTTTTCTTGGACTTTGTGATCGTGATAATCTCTGTAAGAGTTTATGGACAGAATAAACATCTCACGCTAAACAACTACGTGACGTGATTTATAAACTACTTGACTTCCTCTGCATTTGAGGAAAAGGACCTTCCACCTTTTCCAAAAGTACTAACTTCAAGTGGCATAGGAAAGGGAAACTTAAATTTCCTGAAGACAGAAGAAAAGGATCTGACCTTCAGACTATCAAATGCTGACAGCTTGCAGCAACAGAGACAAATCGCTGGCTATATTTCAAATGTATCCCCTTAGCTGAACCTTACTCCGCTCTCAAGCTTGATGCAAATACAGTTATTTCCAAAGATTTTGCTCAGAGAAAGAAACACCAAGTAGAAGCCCTAAATGCAAAGAAGTCTGAAGAAACTTGCTACAAGTCCTGTTTTTTCACACCTGTATTTGTAGGAGAAAATTCACCATGATTAGAAAATAAATACACCTTGAAAAGCTTCCATTCCAAATGTGGAGATGAAATAGGTTTTTTTTTTCAGTAAAAAAATGCCCTGAAGCTACTAATGCTTGAGCGCAGAATACTTTGAAGCTACTACGCTGTGTCATGGGAATGGAGCAGTCCGCTCCCAAATGGTAGAACCGTGAGTAAAATTCACAAATGCCCCATAAAAGGCAAAATACACATACAAAACATGAACAGCGAGGACTGATCTCTGAAAGGCTATTATTATTTCAGGACATTTAAATCAGTACAGCGAGATTCTGCACTAGCCGACAGTCATGAGAACCTAGTGGTTTTTCATGGTGGCTACAAGAACTGGTCAGTCATTTGCCCAATCAATTATACAATCTGCATTGGTTTTAGTCCAAAATATTCCCTCTATTATCAGTATGAACAAATTCACATTACTAGACTGTGGCCATGGTACTGCAATTTAAATAAACAGTAACTCCATTAAGCTTGTATGTTTTTACAAGACATAGTGATTGAAGTGGAAATACAAAAGCTTATAAACTAATCTATAATTAATTATTATCAGAGGCCGAGTATGGGATCCTTATGAAACTTTGAAAACATAATACAGTCAAATTAAACTAAACTCAGTGAGAGTGAGTAATTAAGAGCACTATTTTACTTAAAGCATCTGAAATCAAATGGTCCTTGCCTTGCATTTTTCCATTCTGTCTAGACTGTTCTTATGTGAAAGCTGTCAGGGTACTGACATTAAGCAACTTTCTTAGACTATAAAAAGCAATATTAAAACACAGAGTAGAAGAATATGCCTTTCTATCTGTATCTATCCTAAAAGGAAAACATTTTAGTGTTTTTTCAATGTACTTTATGTAATGAGGTTTTTCATTATGTACTTACATGATAAAGTGGAACTGTATTATTTTCTGCTAGAGAGAAATTCAAAACATCTTGCTGTCCAGGTTCAAGCCTAACATTAATAGTAGATGTCAACACAGATGGACTAATAGGGTAGTTTGGACTGCTTGTGGTTTTGCCCTTTTTTCTCGACCTACGGCCTGTGTCCCTTTTGTTGTCTTTTTGTGTCAAAGGCTCTTCTTGGATAACCAGTATCTTGTCATCACTCAGATACCGTAGGAGTGAATTCTCAGAGTCAGTTGTTGGAGGGGAAGAAAAGAAAAAAAGAAACATTAGTAAGAGGAAACAGAACCATTTTGGCTGCACCTCTATTGTCAGCTTGATTAATTCCCCACTTCACCTGAGGCTCTTTCCTCTGCAAACAAACTTATTTGTACCAAGGTTCCAATCAAGAGCAACCTAAGTAATTAGCACAAAACCTAGGCACAGAAAAGATAGTGGTGCATACCCAGGTCCTTGCATGACAGATAGTATGAAGCTAGTCCACATCATATGGCTTGTGTAACAAAGAAAATATAAACACAGCCAAAAAGTTTCAGTGAAATGTCAAAGATCATCACTTGGTACTGTTAAACTGGAAAGAGTCACATGAATGTCAAGTGAATTGTAAGGGCTTGCACTGGACTCGGTACCACATGTACTGACACCCCCTGCCATCTGAGGTGAAAGTGAGCATACACATAAAATATTTGTAAATAATATCAAGCAGGGAGCATCTCTGGGACCATTCCAGAGACAAGGACTGTAATTTCAAGGAACCGGACAAACTGGAATAGTGGTCTTAAGAAGATGTGCAGTATACTTGGGCACAATTTCAAAATTGGCACTGGCCAGGCAACAAGTCTGAGGAAAGGAATCTGGCTGTGACAGTGAAATAGAAACTACATATCTACAGATTTGGAATAAATCAGAAAACACCTGTGCTTTAAATGAAATTTATTTTCTCTTGGAATGGTAGGTTACTGAAAAAGGAAGTTTAAAATCCTGTATCAATTTGCAAGAGTATCATTCAATTTTGCCTTAAGTAGTCAAGTGAAACTCCTCTCAACTACCCACACTGTGCCTAAAAGATTCTGAAAAAATAGTATTTATTTAAGAATCTTTAACAATTCACATAATAAATGCTTTTGCATATCTGAAGGATATTATTTTGAATGATATAATTGCTTTTTAGCAGAGGAAAAAAAGGGAAAAAAAAAGGAACTTTGCTATCACCGTGCTTCTTCCGAAGTTCATAATTCCCCCTGGAATCAATAGAACTGCATATGATTAGGACTGCTAGTCTGAACGCTGACCGTACACTTGCTGATTCTAGTTTCAAATATTAATTCATACTAATCAAAATATGTCTCATAGGACATTACCTTAATCTATAACATCATTTACTGTTTTCTAGAACTGTGAAGATTAGGAACTGATTGCTATTAACATATATCTGAATCTTCTAAGTCTTTTTTCTCCCTTGATGTTTATCTATCTTCATACTAGAATTAGAGTAAATCCCACCTACTAATATATTTTTTTTAATTTTCAGGAATAGAAACACAAAAATCCAGACAATAAACAGGCTTTTTTACATCCTTTGTGGCACTCAAGAAAAATAGATTTAGTTCCTGTGATATCTTCATGCTTCTTAAGTAAAGAGGGGAAAAAATCTTGGAGAAAAACAGAGAAAAAAAAATACTCACCTCTGCTTTCCCTCTTGTACATGTTTTGTTCTTTGGACTCCCCTATCCAACTGTACTCAGTAGGCATAGAAACAGGCCTTAAATCTCCTGGAAACAAATCAAGATAAACAATATAATTTCTGAAGATTAAAAATAGAAGGCTGTAGAGTAAGTAATGCCTATTAATTAGAGGAATGACACGGCCCTTCAGAGCAATCCTTTTTATCAGCACTTATACATCATTACATTGTAGCATTCAGGATCAATTAAACATCATATATGCCAGATTCTCCTCTTCATTATATCGATCTGAAGGAAAGTACTGCTTTCACTTTGGTGAAATTACTTGTAATCGTATAGCAGATTACAAATTTATTTTTAAACTGTGTTCTGTAAAAACTTGCTGACTCATTAAATAGATGTTTTGGAATAAAGGAAGAAGCATTTTTTAAACAGACTAATATGCTTTAGTAAAACTAGAAAGATTATTAATAGATACATTACATATCTATCAGTTAAACAGTAAATCACATGGTGAGTAATGAGGGGATCTCATAGTTTCAAGGAACATTAATTTCAAATGCCTTAGAAAGAAAAACAACAACAACAAAAAAGAAGATTTGGACATTAGGGTTTTAATTAATATGATTTTATGGCACTAGGGGCTGTAAGATATAAACGCACATTATTCATTCCCTACTATGCTATCAGTAGGACATTGAGAGCAGGCCATTAAAGGAAGAATACTACAAAAGTGGCTATAAAACATTAGCACTTTGGCCTTGTCAGTGTGCATTATTATCAGAAAACACAGAAACACACCCTCTAGATTATGGGTTAAGTTCTGTCTGACCCATAAAGCCAAAGATTCCTTTTTCGGCATGCCAGCTGACTGATTGAGTGTGTTTCTTTAGCACTCGAGCAAATTTTTTCAAAGCAGTTTGCTACTGCTCTGTTTCTAGGATAATAATAGAATTTAAATGTGAACAAAGTTTCTTTTTCATTATCAATTTCTCCAGGTTGATTAGAGTGACAAAGTATTTTCTGTGGATTATTTGTATGCCAATATAGTTTTTTATTCACCATTTTACCAAAATACAGCTTTTTAGCTACTAAAATGTTAGGAGGGTTTAAGAACAAACATGACTTTCTGAAAATTGAAGGGGTAACATATACCTAGAATACTGAGATTTTCCCATATTATACTTCTGCTCATACCATGAAAGTTAGTGTATAACTAATTGTATGGAAAATGTATGTAGTTTCCCTGTCTGCCTAAAAGTTGAAGCTACCTTTAACTACAAGTGTGTAATTCAACTCCTAATCTAAACTTTGGTCTTAAAAGAACAACAGTAATTAAGAAAAAAACCCCAACAAATCAAACAAAAGGAGGAATCAGTAATACGTAAAAGAATGCAAAACAAGTAAAGTTTATAAATTAAAAAAGGCAAAAAAATGAAAATAAGAATGTACATAACAAATGAAGATCAACATAATAAAACTTGGTAGTATTTCCATGAAGAGAAGAAAGGTCTAAAGCTCTGAAGAGATTTGTAACTCAGCTACCAGTTGCCACAGCACGATTGACATAAAAATTAGAAATTTAGGACAAGACAAAAAGTACAAAATATTCTACTACAGTAGAACAAAATTTGGATTTGGAAGTCTGTTAATTGACAGATTAATTTAATCTGTAGCTTAAAGAATTTTGGTTTAACAATTGTTTTTGAAACAAAGGCATATTCCTGAGACTCTTAAAATCAAATTCCTGCTAGATTTTCAAATCTACAGAAAATCAGAACTGTTTGTCATAAACACAAGAAAAATCTTGTGCATTACTGGCATCAGGCACAGAGCCCAATATTTTAAGTCATCATGCAGCATGAATTTATGAAAACAAGCCAAATACATCCATCTGGCTCCAATTTTAATCACAGTTAAGATTTGTCTTCCATTCTAATTTTATTATAAAATGATGTCACTTATCAGGGAATACAGACTGAATAGTGCAGTCTTAAGATGGAATCCTACTCTGTAGCGTTACAGCTCTTTCAAGCATCAAGTATATGGCTGTAGAAGTTACTAAAATATCCTACACATAACAAAGTTTATTAAAATGGCCCTATTCTGAAAAGGTAGTGGATATATATATACACGATCCTGCCCATTTTACAGTTGGTATCTTGACTTTGTTTACCATAAATCCATCTGTAGTCAGCAAAATACAAAAGCAGGAGAAAAGTTCTGTTTAATTGATAAACCTAAGCTAAGATTGCTTTCAAACTTTTAGAACGGCAAAAACAGAACAACATTTGGGAATTTGGGTGTCCTTTGCTGGGAAAGTCTAGCTCCAGCCAATTATCACTCTCCAGCTGAGGTGAACCATCAGTGCACCTTGACATAGCTTGAAGTATCCTTGCGGCTGTTGCATTTTCAGACTTGAATTCTACCCTCTCAGCTCTCAAAACAGCAGGTGAAATTACTTATTACTCATTAGCTGACCTTAGCCAAAAGGTAATGGGGTTGAAACCTTAACCCAGGTAAGTTACGTAAACTATACCCCGGACATCTCAGGGATCATAAGAAAACCTCAGCAAGCATTTATTGACAGAGAAAAATACTTGTACATCTTAACTATAAAAATCTGTTTTGGCATCTGGGCCATCAGCTGCCCTCTCTTCTAACATTGATGGTGTCAAGAACACCTCAGTCTAAGAACAGGGGAAAAAAGCTACGTCGTCTCTAAGTACTAACAACTGAAAGCAGCCTGGGAAACTACATTCAATAACATCCACAGTATCAAATCCTGCACAAGAGACCAACCAGTTCCATGGCAGACCAACAGAATCAGTGCCTGAAGTACTTAAAGATTTTTTTTTTTTCCTCCCAACTGTGTTCCTTCCCAGCTGTTATTGGATCTTCCGCTGTAACTGCCTTTGGTATTATCTCCATTGAACTGCAGCATGTTTTTATTACCTGTGTTCTTCACAGACAGAGTTTTCTTTACTACTCTGAGCTTGTGAGAGGTTTTCCCTTTCCTAGATATCAAAGACAAAAAAATTCAGGAACTTTTTTTAACTATCTGAAAGAAAGGGAAAAAACCCTTAGTCTCACCGTAGGTGAACAAAGTACTTATTGATGGCATCATGTCTCTCTCTCTCTCTCAAAAGATAGAACCTACCCATACAGAATGCCATGATCAGGAGGAGGCATTGCTTTCTCTGAGGCTCAGAAATAACTCTGTTTTCAAAATCAGATATAATCACAGTTTCTAAAAGAAGTCAGTAAACTTTACAAAAATAACTTCCTGCCTTGAAAATAAACCCACTGCAAATACATAGACAATACACTGCTGTATTTCAGTAGTATTCTTCCAAAATTCACGAAACAGCAAGCAAATTGGTTTTAACAGATAAGCAAAAAACCTTTCATAAATTCATTTTCAGCAATACCTTTCCTATAGATACATATGCTCATATACAAACACATGTAAGTTTGTATACCTGTATGCCAATATAAACTTACATACTGTGATGGGTTGACCCTGGCTGGATGCCAGGTGCCCACCAAAGCTGCTCTATCATTCCCCTCTTCAACAGGACAGGGAAGAGAAATTCCTATATAAAATCACATATTTTTTTTTTCTTTGAATAGCATCTTATATATTTAAGCAATCCCCATTCCAAGATTTTGAAATATATTTCTAGGATTAACAAATGCATTCCAGGATACTACTCATGTAATTATATCCATGTATTTGGTTTGAAGCTGCGCCAGGGCAGGTTTAGGCTAGACATTAGGAAAAACTTCTTCACCGAAAGGGCTGACAGGCTCTGGAATGGGCTGCCCAAGGAGGTGGTAGAGGAGTCCTCCCTGGAGGTATTTAAAAGAAGGATACATGAGGTGCTTAGGGACATGGTTTAGTGGTGGGATGGCAGGGTTAGGTTAAAGGTTGGACTCGATGATCTCAAAGGTCTTTTCCAACCAAAGTGATTCTGTGATTTAATACAGCACTGAATTTTGGAGGGCCTTACATCTTCTAGATACTTTCATACCACAAGTAAGTCTTTTCAGGCCCTCCAGTGAAGCTTAACAGTCCAGAACATTGCAACTAGAACAATCTCCAAGAGCTTGTGAATGCAATTGAGTAAATCAAGATGCTAGCTATCCAAATAATATGAACTTTAGTATCATTCAAAATTTTAAGTATGCACTGCAGAATAAATCTATAAATAACTTACTCCTCATCTTGAATGTTAGCTTGTCATCTTACTAATTATTCCTTCACATAAACTTTTGCCTAGTATTCAGAGCCAACAGGTCATGGTCTAAAAAATAGTGATATTTGAGGGTGTTGCAGTGTTAATAGCACAATGTGTAAATCAGCTCAATTTAAAAATGTTAAAGAAATCAAGCCTACCGTGAGTGGGTGTTTTTTCTCTTCTCCGCACTCCTGTAGCTCTGCTTCTCTCATACTCAGAGCTCACAGGGTGACCTTCACCTTCAATTAAGGTGTAGTATTTCCCACTTTCATGTTCCAGAAAATAGCTAGGAGACTCAGAGCCTTTCATTCCAGACTTTCCAAATTTGCTGATGTCATCACAAGACATTATTCCAATTTCATCCCTAAAAAGAGTAAACCAGAAGATTATGGAGAAATTAACCATTTTATGATACAGCTAAAGCATACAGCTGTCTCTCCCTCACACTACAAATAAAAAGACATGTAAATGAAATGCTATATGTGAGAACTTTTATGAAAAGTGATTCAATTCAACAAATATAAATTAATGAAATCATCATTAGGTTCCATTTTACTGTAAAATAAATAGTTATTCAGGAGTTTTCTAGTATCTGAAAGGGAGCATAAGGAATTGGTATAACATGAGAAGGCAAGGGTTTCCCTTGCAGAAACACATGCTTTAGAATAAGATGTAAGTGGTCACATAAATGTAAACAAAACTAAATGTTTAAAGACTTCTTTAAATGCTTTCTTGGCTTAGGACTAAAACCAGGTTTTACTCAACTTGTATCTAGCTAGGTGAAAGTTAAGTCTCTCAAAATAATGACATGCTTAATGTATTTCTAGCTCTTAATTTTACTAAATATTTAGTTTGATTTCAGGGCTTTTTGTTTGTTTGTTTTTATTAACCTAGTGAAAATTAAAGTGTAATTTTTTTTTTTTTTAAACCCTCAAATTAATTAGGACATAAATACCTGGGGCCATAAAGTCCTGACATAGGAGACAGAATGAAAACATCCTGGAGTGCAGAGTTCTCCATTTTTGAGGATATGCCCATTGTACTTGTTGGTGTTGTAGAGCTGCTCGTTGGACTGGTTGGAATTACAGGCTTTAAAAAAAAAAAAAAAAAGCACATGAAGAATAAATTAATGTTTTCTGTGCTACAAGTTAAAACGAAGCCAGTGTGCATAACTTTAGGAATCTTTACCTCTTTTTTTGGATTAGCCATTATTTTTTAATTACTAAAGTTTCTTCCCAAAAGATATCTACTGAAACACTGTTTTGTCAAAGAGCTCAAGACTACTTATGAAAGAAACTGATAAAAGACCAGTAGTGAAATTAATTTAAAAGCCATCTCATGGAAAAATCTGAGACTCAGACTCAAAATATGATTTTTAGCTAATGCAGAAAATCTATTATAATGGGAGGAAGGACATCTACTATTAAATGCAAATACAAAAATTAATTACAGAACTCCAAAATACTTGCTCTGAATGCAAGTGTTCATAACCATAATGTTGGTTTCAGTAGATTTATTGTTAACAAGGACACAATACCTAGATGTTTTTAAGAAAACAGAATTCATAGTCATCTATTGTTTCTTATTTTTTACTGAAACCATAACTGTGATGCTTCTGCCACAATGATACAAATATAGGTTCTATGATGACTAGCAATGAAATATAAATTAACCTAAGCAATGAATGTGAGCATCATAAATATTAAAAGCATTAATAAAGTATGGGTGTCTTTTTGGTTTTTTTAATTGCTTAATTTTAAATGAACTAAGTATTCTGTGCAGGATACAAAGATATATATGCAAAGAATATTTTTCAACCAAGGTACAGTGTGCATGTATATTCAAGAAATAGAAAATATTTATATTTAGTGTTATTGCTTAGATTATTTATATGAAAAATTCCCTTTCAAATACAAAATTGTGCTTAAATAGCTACAATTAGTTTTTTATAGCTGGAAGGAAAAAACAGTGACCTAGGAACTGGATGAAAGCTATGAAGACCAGCTGTAATATTTTCCTAAATATAAGGCTTTCTATTTTCTAGAGATAAACAGTGAAATTATTTATGTGATTTAACAAGTAAAAGCAATCCTAAATACCAAAAAAGGATGTTTTTTCATGAGAACACCAGTCTGCATAGAGGTCCAAATTACACTACTTTTCTGTGTTTATTGTTAAGCCTCTTATACTTGGGTCAAATGTTTTAGGTTTCTTTTGTATTATCAGTATAAGCAGATGAGAAGTGACTGCCAAAGACAAGAATCATTCACTACTTACTTTCTCATATCTTTGGAAATCAGGGCCTACCACCTTATACACAGTATCAACCACTACATTTAGAATAGTACCATTATTTATGCAGTTTTGGTGTGTTAGTATTAGTAAAGAGACTAATCTAAATATTCTAGTAATCCCCCAATTTACCTGCAGCTGGATACAGTTTCATATGGGTCAAAGCATAAATTATCACCATCACAGAAAGACAACCAGAAACTCCATTTCAAAATCAGAAAAAAAATTACCTATACCAAGTCTCTTGTGAATAATTTCTTTTTAATTGTTGTACATTCAGCAGTCGTCAAGGTTACAGTTTAGTCAATGAAGTTGACAACAGAAAAAAGGGTGGGGTGAGATAATACGACTATTCAGTTTGTCCCCAAGGAGGGCGATAACCATGCTATTCTTGACAGATTTTTTTAAAAAGTCTAACCTTATAGCCACGTAATCTTTTTTGCTTCAACTTAATTCGATTCTTGTCCTACCCATCCCAGAAAGTGGGAACTTTCCTTTTCACTCTTCTTTAACTTTTTATTTATTTTTACATTCCGAATACTATCTGTTTCTCCTTACTTTGGCTAGAAAACAAGGAAAAAAACCCTAATTCTTCCCCTATAGGGCTTGTTTCTAAACCACTAATGAGTCGTAATGTGCTCTGTACTTTCTCCAACAGATTTGACCTGGTGTACCCAGTTGAGATTGTACTAATACTAAATAAAACACAGTAATTATTTCACTTACCTAGTGTTTTATATTCCTTTTTATGTCTCTCAGTCAGGTATTTGAGTTCTTTCCAACATGACATTCTACTTTTTCTTTACTGTAATTTCCACATTATTTGGAATTATTGCCATATTATTCGATTGCTACATTTTTTAAAACTCCAGTTGATCATTTCCAAGTAGAATAGTTTACACTTGCCCCTTATTCACTTAATTACATTTTTTTAGGGCTTTTTTCTAGTTTTCCAAACTAGAATTTACAAATTTTTAATTACCAAGACTCCACTACTGCATTTGCAGGCCCTCCTGGTTTAGCACTGTATGCAAATTTAGTAAGCAGATCCTTCAGGATGTCAGGAAAACATGAACAAAAGCACAGGCATCACCTATCTGGTGAAAGCTAAATGATACATATTTTGTTTGATAGTGAACCATTAACAGCTGTTTGTTAGGCAAGGTTATCCACTAATTTTCCACCCACTCAATCTCAGTTTCTCCCAGTCCTTAATTCTCTATGCCATACTTACGAGAATGTCATGAGAAAAGGTATTAATATCAGAGTAAGATATACAGCTTCTCTCCTATCTACCAGGCCAGTTAACTGCTCACAGAAGAGCATTAAATCTGTTTAATGATTTCTTCATAATAAATTCATGTTGTTTTTACTCATCTGTTATCTTCCAAGTGCTTGCAAACTGTTTGTGCATATTAAGTGACTGACTTATAATACCCTGGCTCTTGCATTTCCCCTTTTGGAAGACAAGCATTATACTTCTTGTTTTTGTAACCTTACTGTAAGTCATCCATCTCTCACAATATCACAACAAATAAATTTGAAAGAAAATAAGTTTACATAAACGCGTGCTCTTGAAGTTTACTTTCCCTATATAAGGGTTGTAAGCTTTTAAGGAAATACACTGCTGCATGATTGCTCTCAGATAAGCTGTCTCCTGTCTTCTCCCTCTCAGCTTTATTTATGTTCTCCACCTTCTCTATGAAAAATACCTGTCTTCATTGCTTTCCAAGAATTTGCCAGCCATTATGTCTTTGGAACAATGCCCGTTTCTATCCCCTTCTCAAAGGATGCACCCAATCCAAACAAACCATATTGGGCGAGATTCTGCTAGCTGCTGACAAGAAACCTTCTTCACTCATCTGGCCTGGGAGCCTTTAATGAAGAGAAGTGAGCACCTGCTTTCTCCTCCTCTGTCATCACTCAGATCATTCCAGCCAATATAATTCTTCTATGATCTGGAGCTCAGAGTGAAGGCAGCAAGATGTCTACCTTGACTCTGAGCTCCAGATACATCTTTGATATCAGACATGGAATTTCAGTGGTTTTAAGTATCTGCAAAATAGCACAGGGTTCTTTTAATATTATTAAAACACTAGTTTAATAAGAGTATTCAATACAGTATTTCAGTGTTATATCAAATCAAAAAAGGTAATTTTAATAAATAGTAAATATCAGCCCAACCAGGACTATCAATTAAACAGACATAGTGAAATCTAAGTCTTGTATCTCAATTCCAATAAAATTACTTAAAGTAATTATGCTCTGTGTATGTACAAATGAATGTTTGACAAAGTGGGTGCAAATACATGCACAGATGAAAAAATTCCCAAGGAAAACACATTTGTTTATAGAGGACTTCTGAAAGGTGGCACTTTAGGTATCTGCTGTTGTTATTCAAAGTTTTTAATGAGAATAGCTAATTATCAGTACAATGATTAAGCAATGCTGAAATACCAGAATAAAAATGAAAGACAAATGGCAAATTCAACTCTCAGAAATAAGCAATTGTTTCCCAAACAGAAAAATTCAACATTGCTGTGATTCTGAGTGAGCTTTGCAAATACTGGGGATAATTAAATATTGTGTGTATTTTAAAAGCGCTGTTCAAGACAACAAACATGACCTCAGCACATCCTGCAAAAAACAGCAGGACAAGATGTGGGAAGCTGGTAAAGCCTGGTGGTACAGCAACAAGAGGCTTGAACATGAACATCCCTTACCTTTTGAGGGGATATGAAGATTAAGGATGGGGTACTGAGTCTCTGCTTTCTCCCTTGAAGGAATAAACTCAATCCCCAGAATTCCCCTGATGGGTGAATTGACAGAAAACACACAGGCGTCACTCTTCTACATGGATTGCCTGCGGTAAGGGAAAAGGGGGCTTTGTAACTGCGTATCACCCTATGAATTCCTATAGTGTGTCATTTTTGTCAGAATAGATTAATTCATGACAGTTATACAGATGACTAACTGGGAAAGCTATTCAGAAAAATCAGATGTTCAGCAATACAAATACTACTCACAATGAGAAACAGAACTCTCAATATTGTTGAGTGTTTCTTGCATACGGGTAAACTGGTATGGCTGTGCTGTGAAACAGCAGGGGTGTTCACGGGGTTTTCAAGTCTTGTGGATTTTTACTTTTTTGAAACTTGAAATATATACTTTTTTTGATGTGTAAATAATAATTTTTGTCCTCAGAGCAAGAGAATTCAGGGAAATACATATGAATATGGCAGAAGTCAATGAATGCACGACTGGCATCAAGATGAGAAGTGAATGACTGTTCACCATCTCCTCTGACACAAGATGTTTAAGAGAACAGAACACAGCTTCCTTACTTGTTGCATTTTCTTTGTCTGAGGTGTTACAAGTCTTTCCTTGCCAAAGATATTTCTTGCTGAGATAGTAAAGTGAACGGGCAGCACATAATTTCAGAGTTCACCTGAGCAATTCTGTTAGGGTACAGTACCTGAACTATGAACTGCGAACTAGCCCGAGTGGCATACACCAACTTGTTATTTTCCTTTTTCTGCTCTACAAGCATCTGTTTTCATAATGTTATAGAACTTCTCTTTTGTACGAAGCAACTTCTCTCCAAATACATATGGTTTTCACAATCTGAAATGAGCTACTTAGCTAGAATTATTCTGAAGATACGGATAAAGTTGCAGAGCATAACACGTATTTTCTAATGCTTAAGAATTATAAAATTGTCACTGTTGACGTAAGCTTTGCTACTCACATCACCTGATAGATTCTATATCTCAAGCTAAATAATAAAAAGTTTAATGTTCTGCATCAAGTAGTTGTAACAGGAAGGTTTATTCCAATTGGAAAATTTCTGCAAATAAAATGGAAAAAAAAATGTATTTTATTTGAATGAAGTTGCTGGTGTGCTCACTTCTATAAAATACAGAGCACCATTTGCCATTGCAGGTGAAAGAACCATTTTATATTGAGTAGGAAGAAATTACAGAGTTTAAAAATGAAAATAGTCTTCTAATATTACATAATGCCAACTAGAGACAAAAATGAGAAAATGGCATGACTGACATGTCTCACTGAAAGATAATTGTGGCATAGAACTTAGGCATATGTTAACATTCTGGTGTTGTTAATTAAGCATCAAGGGAAACTACATACAACAAAGGAATACTACAAGGAGACCAAGAAATAAATTTTATAAGGATTCACAGATTCTGTATCATTAATAACTCATAAATTAACTGTGTGATATAATTTTAAAGATAATTATTGTGGAAAAAATATTAATAACACCTGTAAGTGCCTTAAGCAATAATAGAAAACATGACAACTTTATTATTGTTCTGGTGTCTGAATTTCAAGTTCTTGAATCCTACTTCCTTTGTTCCTTCCCTAATTATGTACTACTTTGGTTTTGGTTTTTTACCAACACTAAATCAGAACGGAAGAATTCCTCTACATGTGTTATTTTTCACAGTGTGTTACATATATCCATATATGTATCCATATATGTAACACACCGTGACAAATAACATATGCAAAGCATATATATGGATCCATGTATGTCACATACCATGAAATATAACACATCCATGTATGTTATCCTTTTTTGTGACAGTCTGACATTTGCCAAACTGCTTTCAGTTTTGATCTACTTTAACTTTTCTATAGATTGTTCCTTAACTGGCCATTCCATATCCTACATTTATGCAGCTGGTTACTTTTGTCTAGGTATAAAACCTTCTGTCTATGCTGAATGTATTCTGCTTATTTCTGAACGTCTGTCAACAGCCTCTGACAGCCTCTGTTCTGTGAGAGCCAATTTAATCCATTAGTGGTAGAAAACTCCAGAAAAACAAACCCAGAAGCCTTCCTACCAATTCAACGAATTAAAGTGATCTAGAGAGTCTGAAAAATGCCAAAGTCAAACAAAGGCAAGGACATTCTGCAGCCAAGAACAGGGAGAGGGAAGTGAGATCACTGCTTTCCAGCAGCATCAAGCTGTTATGTCAGCTGTCCAGGAAACACAAGCTTCAGTATCTTCTTGAAATTTAATCATGCTAGTTCCAAGTCATTAATGACAATAATAAATAATACTGGATCCAGGTGAGAACCGTAGGAAGCAGGCAAAACAAAACCTGCGTCCTGAAATGTATCCAGGTCCTAATACTTGAGCTTACCTCTGTGACTTGAAGGCTAAAGAAGACCTAAAGATGCTAAAGAAGACCTAGAGTTGGTTTTCAACATCTTATTACAAAATCTACTGTTAAGAAGTAATGCTGGCAATGCTCTTTTTATTTTCCAAAGTGATTTATATTTTTATTTAAATCCGTCACTGCACTATTCTCTGATATAGAAGAAACATATCCTAGCGAGAATGACACTTAAAGCACTCTTTGATCCTCAGGGGCTCTTGTGTTCTGGGTCATCAGGAGAGAACACGTCACAAAATCAGAAACTGTTGATAATTCCACAAAAATAGCTTAGTGCACTTTCACTTATCTGGCTACAATGACAGAGGTTGGCATGCTTTGTGGAAAATACCATACCATGTACACAGTACATATTGTTTGTACACTAACAAAACTTCCAGAACTATTGCTGCTTGTGAATTATGATTATTTCATGTACTAATATAAAGAGAGGACCTCTACAGAAGATCTGTTGCAAATGCAATTTCCATTTTGCTGCCCCTGGAAGCTTCAGATGAAGTTCACAAGTAGCTACACAATCATCTTGTTAGAGAACGAAAAATGTTATTCCTGCACCCTTATGACAGAAAAATATGAAGAGTTCTGAATCTCTGGGTGCCAAAATGCCCCTTTCCTCTTGCCCAGAAGCAGTCACAGAGAAAGGAAAGGTGGCACTAAGCCCAACCGTCAGCACTCCTGAGCTGCAAGGATCACACAAACTCCTTAGTGAAGCAGCTGTGTAGGATTTAGGCACTTTGAGGAATGAAGGATTCAGGAAGTGCCAGGCAGAAAGGAAATTTGCCTGGGTAGGCTTGAAGGGTTTGCTTTGTTTTGTTAATTTAAAAATTATTCAGAAATGCATTATTGTATCATGTGATCCAAACAAAACAACTCTGTGAAGCTTCCACATTATGAAAGTGCATAAACTTATTACAGGATGTTATACAGTATTAAAGATAAGAATGCATAGTTACTACCTTACTCAAAAATCTTCCCTTTAATAATGACATTTTGATTTCGGTCTTTTTATGATCAGTCAGTTTCTACTACATAAGTTGATGCTGTAGGAAGAACCAGCTGTGATGTTCACAATTGATTTTTTGATTATCAACAAGGAATAACTGTGCAGAAAATATCAGAGGTTCTATTAGCATTGCTACCAAAAAGTCAAACTTGATGAGAGATGTGGAACAGAAGCAGACTTTTCCTGAAATTTAAAAGCTCTGACACACCTGATTACAGACAAGTAGCTTTGACAGACTATAAAATAATGGAAACAGGGAGGCAATGTTGCCTCTGCCCAAGCAAGCTATTGAACCTTAGGCTGCCTTGTGCTTCAGTAAAGCTATTTGTAAATGTTCTTCCCTTCTATGAATTCCTGTCTTATCTCCGCACCTATTTCAAAGAAATTTGGGACATTTTAGAGGCTCTGTTCCCATCACTGGAAGGAAAAATTCTAGTGTTTTGAATAAAGGATTTACTGCGACACCAGCATTGCAACAGCCGCCTTACCTGAAGTGCAAGAGGCTTCCACCTCACATTCTTCAGAAGGGCGGGAGCAGAAACCAGGGTATTCTGAGGGCGTTTTTTCAAGGTTAAAATCACTCCATTTGGGTCTTCCCGCAATGCATTTACTAGGTTCTTTAACTGCCAGCCAACCTAAGGAAAAAATGCCATAATTAAATTTTCAAAGCTTTATATTTAACTTTAAAAGTGAAGGAAGTCTTCTATTAACTGAAAAGGTCTGTTACAGCCTACTCTTTGCAAACATAAGCAGTTTTTGTAAACTGTGTCTGATTACTTTTGTTGGACTGAAATGATGTTGCTGAAAATGGATATTTTTTTTTTATTTTCAGCTACATTTCTCAACAAAATAAGGCACAAGTGAACACTGATGAGGACTAGCAGTCATGAAATAATTTTAATCTGGATCCTTAGTTGAAACACTCACTGCTGAGGACTAGAAAGACTATGCTATAGCAACATATGTAACATGCATGTAACAGCTTTAAGAGCCTAAGTGAAAATAAACGATCATTTACTTGATTTAGCTATACAGCCCCTGGATAGAGATGAGTAATTCAAGTTACTATAAACTGTAAACATAGCCATAAAAAAGAACATCACGAGTACTGAAAGGATTTTATATGTGCCTCTTGCAAAAAGCTACTTAGAGACATTTCTTAATCTTGATTATTTAAATATGAATTTACCACGAACTGTTTATACATGAAAACAGAAAATGTGTTATGGTTTTTTTTTTAAATGGATGTTTACACTATCCTATTATCCTGAATGGATGAAGAGGGTTTAAAACTGAATGATAATATAAATGACAGTATATAAAGATGTTTATGATAAAAGTAGTTTCTTATACATCTAAGTGCTGCTGAATTTCTATCCATATTTCCACAGGCACATGAGAAAAAAAAAAGGTATCAAAACAGTCAGATATGTAAATTCATAACTGAAAGTGAAATTTTTCTAAACCTAACCCAATCTTTCTTCCAAGTTACACCACTGACATCAGTGGAATTGTACTACTTTAAGTAAGAGAATAAACTTGGCTTCCTTCAGCAGTCCTTTTGCCTTTCCTATACGCAAGCTTGTTCACTATGAATAAAATAAGGAATTCCTACCACTTAGCACTTCACAGGGAATTATCATTAAAGTTGGTTTGCTCAATTTCTCAAGTAACACTATTATTGAAGAATTTTCTTTAATATTATAGTCTCAAACGATGTATCCTGTGTAATACCCAAATTAGTACTGGCTGACTGAAATATATTGCAACACTTACAGGATCTACTAGCATTCACTTCTAAAGCTTGTATTTTTTGTCAACATACTTGTGACCTGATCTAGATAACCAGACTTACACCACAGATTTTGAAATTTGTCTCTCTGGTACGACTAAAGCAGAGTCTTAGTTACTCACACCTGACCTTAGGCCTGGGTCCCAAGGGCTAAGCTATTGCCTCCACTTAGTCTCATCTTGCTATTTTCAGGGTGTATACCAAAGCTGAAGTAACTCAAATTACAAGAACAAGCCTACCTAGAAAGGAATTACTGGAAAGAGTAAGTATTTGCAAGTGACAGTCAGGTTACCAGCTCACATTCAGCTCTGGGAAACGGCAAGGCATGCGTTAAGTATTTATAGGGAGGACTTTGGGGGATTTCCCTAGACTTACTTATTTGCAGCTTCTCCTATTCACACACGATTTCTAGATTTGCCACTCAAGGAAAGTGAAGAGGTGCAGGATAGGCTTTCCACTTACCCTTTTAAATATTGCATCCTTTTTAAAACATTACGTAAGGGTTTTTGTTTGAACACTGATGGTTACTTCCCTACCTACAGTTCTGCTAATCAAAGCGGTACAGATCTGATCCTGCGCAGAATATTTTTTCAAAAGTCAATTTCTTCCACAGAACAGCTGAGCCCCCAGCACCTGTATTAGACTCTGCCCTCCACTTTCTATTCCAAACGTGGCAGATTTTTACAGTAGCAATAAATGACCACAGTAAAGACCTGTCATAAGTGTTATAGCCACCACAAGTCTTAAGCCCTAGTGTCAACCTGATCTGTACTGAACAGGAATTGGAATGCTGTGTTGGTACAGCAGTTCTCCAGACACAACCTTGCTGACGCCAAATTGCAGCAGCCTTAAAGTGAACATTTAAGAATGAAAACCTTCAGGAATACAAGAGTAGTAACTGTGTAAGTATATGCAAACATTAAGTGCTGTTATATTTATATGCTTTTTGACTACCCTTGACCCGTCACAGTTCACTATAACACTTTGATCATCATTGCTCTTCTGACCAAAACGTGTATTCCACTGCTATTAAAAAAAAACAAGAAAAAAAAAGATTTAGTTGTTCAGAATGAGAGCAGTCTACACGCATCGCCTATTACATCAGGTATGGCTTATAATTACTTCCTCTTAGAGCATGATTACACATGAAGGTGGAGGGAAAATAAAGGCAACCTTGAAGAGATTTCAGTTCAAATCTGCTTACAAGGGCTGAAGAGAAGTTAAGATAGAAACCATAAGGTCCTAGCCTGTCTCCACAGTGGGCCGAAGCCAGGATCCCAAGTGTGAACATTTGGCTTGGAAAGAACTGCAGTATGTGTCGTCATTCTAAAAAGGATTTTAATAGCTTTTTAAAGTTCTATTCTATTTTTAATGTTGCTGTTCTATTGAAAACTTTCTAAAAATGCACTGGCCACAGGAAACCAGAAAAAGGTAGTAATTATGAACAGGCCACAGCCAAACAAATGCAAATATATCAACTTGCATTCCATACGAACCCTCCTAGTTTGTGATTTGTTTATAAAATGACAGGGCTACACATATATATTTTTACTCAGTTATAGAATTAAAAATTAACTATTTTTGATTTTTATAGATTGATGTAATTTTTAGAATGCTGAAATCTTTAGAGTTCCATGAGCTCCTTTTAGAAAAGAATGATAAATAATTAAGTTAATGATAAATTATTCCAATGAGAACCTTAATGCCAAAACCATTAAATACCAAGATCTATTAGAGAACAGTCTGCAGTCATTACTACTAGGCTATGATAAAATGCTCTTAGGAATTTGGACATGTTATTATAAATTGTATTACTAAAAATATCTTTGAAAAATAGAAGTCATTACAGTGGATTAAAAATCTTAGTTGAAAAGCAGACCTTGAGACAGATTGTGACATTTATTCTTAAAGAATCACTCTTTAATAGCAATTACTACCTTCTAGCTATGGTGAGATGTATTCAGCAAAACGGTATTTTGCTCCTTTAAGATTTTTAACATACACATTCAGTTAATCAGATTCTACAATATGGGTTAAGATATTTCACTCAGTAATGAAAGTTAACATCAAAATTAGACTAAGAAAAAAAAAGAATAGAATGATACTTTTTTTTATTTTCCTGAATAAATGAAATTGGACCAATTAGGATACCCGTTACATTCAAATCAACAAATTCAGAAGGACATTGTTATGTCCTCTTTGCTCAGCACAGTAAAGCTCTAGTCACGGTGTGCTGTTCTCTGCTAAACATATTTACATACTGAAACACAGCACACAGTTTGTAAAAAGATCAGAATCACCAAAACTTTGATACTTACTGGCTTAAAATGATTGACTTCTTAATTTTAGCCAATTTTTTTTTTTTTTTTACGTAGATGCTGAGTATGGAAGAAACCTACAAGAATGCAAAACAAGTCACTGAAAATTGTAAGAGGCAGGGAGAAGTTTAAGATTTTGGTGGTTTACATGTAGGATCGCTCTAGCCAATAATTTTTATTGGCTTGTACATCCTCAGTGTAGAAAGAAGAGCTCCAGGGAAAAAATTGTGTACTACTGTCTATGTTAAAGGATTTGTTAGTTTTCTCATAGCAAGTACAAGTCAGATAATTAGTGGAAACTGCAAAAATATAGTAACTTTAAAAATAATAGTTCCAAAAATATTAATCTCTATGATACTAAATTTCTTTACCATAGAAGTATAATGTTCTAAATATCCACAGTGTTGTAGTAATTTTTCTATAGCCAAACCTGATAATTTTGTAGCTGGGACTGCATAACTAATGTTCAGAAAAACATAACTCACTTTCATTAACCTACAGTAAACTAGTTTGGTTTATATTTTTCCAATATCTTCTTTACAGTCTCCCTATATCGACTTTATATCCTTCTCATTTAGAAGATCTAGATCTGTATGAATGGGATTCGGAATGCATACTACCAGCAATTGGGATTTTGGCATTTTTATATATCCAAACTCTGTTCGTGCTGGACAAGCACCTCTTCTCCTTTTTCAAAATAAAGGCTACCCGGCCAGTGATGACTCACTGATGATCTGTATGAAAAACAAACTAACACAAAAAATTCTTAATGTTACAGACACACAAAGTCTGAAGAAAACACAAACCGGTGCATTTGTGGATGACCGCACAGGTATCAAGTGCATGATATATTCGTTCCTTAACTGAACAATTCCTGAACTGAAAAAACAGCTGGATTGTTGAACATCATAGTGCTTATCGAAGGATTCCAGTAGTCAAAACCACCACAACAGTTTTTCACCTCCATGCCAATTTCTTCAAAACACATCATACTTATTTGTTGTGGTACAAATTTAGAAGACAGCTCAGATAGTGGAACTAGGAGTGCATAGTGGGTAGAATACCTATATTCCCTTCTCTGCTTTTCCTGAAAATTCTGGGGACAAAGCAGAAGCGCGATTCCTCTGTTCCTTCACTGCTTCATCAAACCCTAAGCATCTATCAGGGCTCTGAAAAATGAAAAAGTTCCAAGAGATACAAAAATACAGAGTGCACCTCACAGAAGGAAGGTAGGTTACACCTTAATTTGTTTGTGAGGACTTGGGCATATTCTCCTCACTGTATCATATGCCAGCTTTAATGTTACCTAGGATGGAGAGAGATAGAGCATTAACTAAAGAGGAATTTAGGAACTTCCTTGTTAGGCATTTGATCTGGAAATCAAATGCAGAAAATATTTTCTAAATATTAGAACATACTATATTGCACACAACCTGAAAACAAGTAGTTCTGCTTTGACTGCAGTAACCCTTACATGAACCAGGGCAGATGTTTCCCCTCAAGGCTCTTCAAATACATAAGCAAA